TTCGCCGTCTCCTTCAGCTGGTTCAACGGCGATCTTGATAAGGTACAGAGTATTTTCTGTCGTCGTTGGGGACGAGGTTATATATTTTCAATTCTTGTGAGGTTTCATATTTCTTCAATTGCCGTGTGATGGTTCATTTGTCTGCTTTACATTGTTCTCCCACATAGTGTGAATATGAGTGTTTTTTTTTTTTATTTGTAAGTTTGGAAAGGTTTAATCCTTTAATTAGAATGTGCTGCCCTGTTTTGATGCAGATTAGGATGTAAAGTGGAAAGGAGGGTGCATTTGTCTGGTGATTTTTGCCTGCAAAGATATAATTATTAATTTTTTTTTTATTTTAAAGATGACTTTGTTTGTCGTATGTTATTCTTGTATAAGAGTTTTTTGCTTCTATAACAGATTAATATGACTCTTCTATCCTTAAAGCATTTATTCAGATTTGTCCCTCTTCTTCTTTTTTTCCCTTTTCCACTCTTTCTTATTACCCGTCTGTCTCACTTCCCTAGGCAGTGGCATACGAAGGCTGGAGCGACCTGTGGTTCACGGTCCAGTTCATCATGTCGTGCATCATGGGATTCATCCTGATGTACTCGGTGATGCTGTGCACGCAGTACAACTCTGCCCTCACCACCACCATCATCGGGTGCCTCAAGAACATCTTCGTTACGTACTTAGGGATGATTATTGGAGGCGACTACGTGTTCTCCATCTACAATTTCGCGGGGCTCAATATCAGGTATAGATGGAATCTTCTCATTGTATTTATTTGATGATCATTAATTAACCTTTTGTGTTTTGCAGTGGTCTCTTTCTTTTCTTGTGTTGTTATTACTTTTTTTTTTTTTTCAACTTTCCTTTTCCAGGTTTAATTTGTGTGTTTCCTTTTCTTTTTCTTTTTTTTTTCTTTTGCATAATGATGTATTTAGATAGATTTGAGTTCCTTTTAACACTTTTATTGATATTCTAAAAGTTGATTGCTTTTAGGCTTGATTTAGAGTATTCTAGATAGTATATATATATATATATATATTTTTTTTTTTCACCCTTTTCATTTTTCTTTCATTTCCAAGTTTTCATATTGATCTTATATTATTTTATGGGCTACTTGTTTTACTTAATAAACCTTTTTGTTTTAATATATTTATTTTCAAATAGTGTCATTATACCTTCTAGACTGTCTCACGTGATGGCATTAATGTATTTGCTGTGGAAAAGCATCAAAGAAAGGAAGGGATGAAAGTCTTATGAATATTTCTATGTATTGGAGGAAAATGATAGGGCTGTTTTTAGTCTCAGGAAAGGGTAATGTTAATTGAGTTTGATGCTGTATATTTGTACATATATGGTTTTATGTCGTCATCACCAAAATTATATGTATCATGTGAAACTAATGAAGGATTTAAAGTATTACTGGAATACTTATCAACTTGTACCTGAAAGCAGTGTATTGCTGTCCTAGTTCAATTCTGTGGCCTTTGAAATCTTATATAGGCCTTGCCACAGGTATGAAATTAGATATTTCCCATAGATAATTATGAAAAGGTGCATTCCCTGAAAAGCCAATAAAAGAGGTATACCTGTGATTGAGTCCTGGTCATACCTACTCCAAGTTATTGATGCTAAAATTTGTTCACTTCTTTGATCCTAACTGCAGTCATTGAGGAGGAACGGTTCCTCAAAAGTAGGCCTAAAGACATTTTTTAACCTCATTGCCAAAACCGTCATTTATCCTGTAGCCCAGAGCGTAGAGAGCTGGGTGAATTTGTCACCCGCGAATCTGATTTTTCCCGAGAGCAGCTGACTCCGGGTGCAGTCTAACATGTTGTTCTGTATGGCACCAGGAATTCTTGTTGTGATGAGTGGGTGAAGCTGCATTTTGATTAATTTAACACAAAACTGTTGCTTGACTTAATTGTCCTTTTGAATTCAACATGATGTTATGAGGAATAGGATTGTTTTTTTTTTTAGGCTGTTGCTGGTTGTAGTTGTTGTACTTGTCAGTCAGGTGTGAATAAGGAGTACACTGAGTGATGTATTTGAAATTGTTTTATTATTTATGTTGTGATGAAACAGTCTCAAATTTCCCATCATTTTGGAGACTTGTATTATAAATCACAAGCTGTACAAGATATAATAAGTTTCATGTTAAAACAAGACCAATAATAAAGCTAGGTACAGTTTAAGATGAAATCAAACAGTGAATTGAATCCCTCTAGGATACTGATCGAAAGGAGTATATATTTGCAAAAGCTTCCTTTAAAGGACAATGTAGTTAGATATAGGGCTTATTGAAGATCAAAGAGGTTTTAAATTAAGACTGAGGGACATTGTCATACCTGTACCACTATAAAAAAAAATATATTAATAAAAAAAAAAAAGATGACAGAAGGATATGTCAATTGCAGATGTATTGCATACTATTGCTCTACAGCCAGATGTTGACCAATGGATATGCATAATCTTTGTACCCAGAGAGTGGTTATATAGGTTGCAACTGTGT